TGTAATAGAAAGACAGAGCGAAACAAATATATAGAAAAACAAGCTTGAAAGAGAAAGAGAGAGTGGGAAAAAGATAGAAAGAGAAATAAAGGCCACGCAACTACTACGACTACGACGAGGACAACGACTACGGTTATAAACTGAGAAAGCAGGACAGAGGGAGAGAAAACGAGCGAGGGCGAGAGAGTAGTAAATCGTATGTACGAAGTGTATATATGATATATCGAAGCGAAAAGCAAGAGAAACATTCGTGCACGGGTTAGCCTCGGGAGACCGGGTTAAAAGACTCGTTGTCGTCCTCCGAGCACACGTTTTGTCTGTCTTGTCATCGACAGACATAAGTGAAATTTGCATCTAGAAATATCGACAACGCGACAACAACGATTACGACCACGACGGCGACGTATTTGCCATCGAGGAGGCACGGATATGCCTCGCTCGTCGGTGCTGTGACACGCGCCGCGCCGTGTGCTGGCTGAACCTCCCGGAAGAGAGCGTGGGCCTCCGTCTCAAAATACTGTGCGGTTTCTACCGCACGCTCGAGAGCCAAGTAAGTGGAATAAACACGCGTAAATCGTTTTTTAATATCCGTTTGTTTCGTCCGAAATGAAAAATTTCTTTGCCTTGGGGAGTAGTAATTATTGTTTCGAAACACTACATTCGAGTTCCCGTCCGAAAAGAACGTGTTTTACCGTGCGTGTTTTTTTCTATCGTAATCGTACGAAAGATGTGCTTACTGGAGCGCATAAACAGAAAGGAAAGAATGGGAAAAAACAAAATAAAAGAAAAAAAATGATCCGTTATTTCGAGTTCAACCAATTTGGTCGTCGAAAGTCGCTGGCATCTTTTGCGATCAATCGCGAAAGCGTGCACTGATTCTAGGTTTCCTCATGACCGTGCCGGTAGCACGCCTAACTAGGGATACTCTAGTCCCGGCTTGGCTCTTTAAACGGCTCTACGTATTGCGTGCGAATCGTGCGTTTCTATGTGTGCGTATCGGCAAGGAGTGGTGTGTGTGCGCGCGCTCGCATAATCGCGTTCCCTCATTGTCTGCCTACTCGCGCTCACTCGCTCGCTCTCGTATGCATGGCCGCTTCGGTGCGTGGCGTACGGATTATATCGCGCGTACGCATTGCCGTGTTCAATAAAATCGGAATTCGTTTGTTGTTTGGTCGTGGTCGAACGTTCTACGCGGTATTAAAAAATAAAAATAAAAACAGAAAGAAAAAGACAACCTCTAAACCTTCGATCTATGTTAACAGCTGATCGCGAACGATTACTCTGTATAAGCGATGTAAAATAGATTCATTAATGCAATATATATATATATATTTTCCACTTTTCCACAATGATAAGAAAAAGAGAACGATTATTCATTGATAGACCTTGCAACCTGTGCAGTTTCTACAAGCGGAAGAATGAAAAAAGGGGGACAGTAAGGTTCGTCGTTAACATCTGGGGCCTGAAGCCTCATACACACGAGGCATGTTTACTTATCTGTATATAATCTATTGAAAATTTTTTGCTATATTTTTTATTTCAGTGCAAAACACATTTTTCAGATTTCATACATATATAATATTTTATTAATTTAAGCAAAAAAAAAAAAAAAGAAAAATTTTGTTGCATTAAACGAAAACGTTGGATTTATTGAATACCTCCTTAAAAATTGTTCATATAAAACGTTTGTGAACGAACGTTATGTTTCGTGTTTTAAAGAGCACGTTCCTCTACTAATCGATGGACTCTAGGCTAGTTCTACATCCAATGCCGTCGACGCGAGTTACACTAGTCAAGTTTTATCTTTGAGATAACATCCTACCAATCAATGCCTTCGTACCGTGCATTGCTCCCAACCTTCGAATGTGCTTTACCGTGCTATTGGCCCCACGATCTCTTGTTATAATCGATGTAGTACGGTGTGTACTCGGCCAAATAGGCGAAAACGAGACAACCTCGCAGTTCGACCGGGAGTTTGCTTCTAAAACTGCTTACAACGCAAGGCTGCTGTAACACGACGATCCTACGACGTGCCTCTTTAAACCACACCCGGAACGCTGCCTCGTGTTCTTAGGACGCTTGCTCTTTTTTTCGAAAATTCTCGTACGCGTCCGCACCGTGGGTCTCATTCCGCTCAGGCGCGTAACGAGTCTTTTGAAAACGAGGACTTTAGGAAGGATTTTCTATTCTTTTTCGCGGCTATTTTGTTTTGTCATTCTCAACTTTTACGTGAGGAAATATCGTATGATCAGAATACTCAGATAATAGAAGAATGATTCTAGGGATTTTTTCTGAATCGATATGTGGGAAATTAATCTAAAACTGTAATCAATTTAGAATACTTGCAATAATTAACTACATATTTTTAGAAATGATGTTTTAAATTTAAATTAAACATGTAATATTTGTGAATTTTAATTTGTGAATTTTGAATATAAATTTTATTTTATACCTCATTTTGAAATAATATATTATAATTAAGATTATCTTTCATATTAATTTTAAAAAATAGCGCGAAATTACACTTTAATATTTGCAACAATATATTTCTTTTTTTTTAATTAAAGTAAGTAGATAAACATGAAATATTTAAATTTTTTAATGATTTAAAATAATATATATATAGTTTAATTTTATTATTTTCAACAAAAAAATTGTTGTTGAAAGTTTCAGAAAAGCTAATACAAATGTCACATAATGTACATTGTCTGTTTTAATTTTTTTTTTGTTTTTACTTTCATGTTCCTCGATATTTGCAGCTGCTGTACACTCATATTAAAATTAACAATATAGAAATTGATCTGTAGTTTTCACCAGATGTTCAATACTTGTAGAATTGTCACTTTACCGTTTAGTCGACCACTTCCGTTTTGTGAACTGAAACGTTCCGTTTCCGAACGATTATTTTTATACATTATGATTATATTTTAATCATTTCCCTTATTTCATAACACTTGAGAAATGTTTTTATCTTTTCTAAGATATTATTATTTAAAAATAATTTAAGTACAATACAAAATAAATTATACTTTGAAGATTAAGAACAAACAAAAATTAATGTTGTCAATTATGTTTAATAATTTAGAATTTATTTTATATTCCATTCTATTAATTGCATAATAATAAAATTAAAATTATATTTTTTATCATTATGCATTTATTTTCTATCTTTTTTTATTTCAACATAAAAGTTTATCATTTTCCCTGTGAAGACAAATGTGAAATTCTTTGGAATACGAGTTCTATTATTAGGATCTACCAATGTTGCTTGATTCAAGAACAAAAACCTTCTCTCCTATGCTGTCTGTTCTTTGATATGCATCTAAAAAGTCGCTTCTCCTTAAATGTGCTATCGCGTCCAAGTAAAACACACTCACAAATGGGTGGCACTGACAAAAAGTCGAGAATGAAGGGACGACGATCGATAGGAATTTTTATCGGATCCGCACACTTCGCTGTCAATAATTTTCACATATGAATGGTATATTTTTGATAAAGCATATACTATTGACAAGGTTAACAAGGTACTAATATCTAAGTTAAAATGCTGCATTTCAATTTTTCCGAACAACTTTCCTTCTATGCTCGAGATACTTATTAACGAATATTTAGTAAAGATATATTTGAAATAATAAACAATTTTTTGTGATGAACAATATGAAATGAAAAATAAGTATCCGCCAAAATAGTATACATACATTTATTAACCTTCATGGATGATGTAGTGTATGACACGTTTTCTGAAAAACTTCGATAATTTAATTTTACAAATCAAAAGTAGGAAAAGATTTTATAATGTTATTATTAAATATAATTAATAATAATTTTATCATTGCTAAATTGTAAAAATATATAGTAATATTAAAAAAGAAATATTGAATGTAATTAATTATTTAAATACATAATAAAAAGTATTGTTTTTTAAACAGTATAGAAATATTTATTAATATTTTGTATCTAATAATAATTGTATTATAATATTTTATATATTTGATAATGAAATTTATGGAACATTTATATCATGTATTTTTCATTATATTTTGTTAAAAATATATATTATGTTTAAAAATATTTATATTTTCTTAATAATATATCTATTTGTATATTTTCAAGAATTTTTTTTATATATATTGTATATAATGTATTTATATTATATATAATGTATGATTCATATGTAATGACATAAAGTATAAAAATCTAACTAATTGTTTTGATAAGAATTACCATTCAAATTTAATTTTAATTAAATTTGATTTATTTGATATTAAATTATATTTTGTTTATGTTTTATTATTAGAAATATATATTAATTTTAATAAATTTAAAAAGAGACATATAGTAGAATATATAACTTATCAATAGATTGTAATACAATATGATTTATGTTTTTAATATATATATAAAATGTTTATGTAATATTTAAAATTCTTAACTAAAAACGTATGAAAACGTATGAGAAATTAATATTTATTTTAATTTAAATATCATTTGTCTCGAACTTACATATTTTAAAGTTTATATAAAGAATCTTATAATTTTATATTTTTATAACTGTTATAGATTGTTATAAACTATAAAAATGCCTCGAGTAAGGAGACAAGTGGTCTTAGAAGATCCTGCTAGGCCTGTCACACCAGATATGGTGGAGACTAAATTACGTATGTATTATTTGTATTATTTCATAATATCTTTATTTATTTTGCTTTTATATTTATGTATATGCAAATTATTTTTAGTAAAGGAAGAATTTTTAGATGAGGGCTCTTTGGATGAAGTACAAGCACAAAAAGTAGCTGAAGAAACACCAAGTCCTCATCTTCAAGACCACCAATATGGACAAACACCTTGTTATCAAGTAACAAGGAAACCTACACAACCACCACCACGAACTGAAGTAAATAAGATTATATTTATATTAAGATAATCTTTAACCGAATAACTTTTACTTAGTAAAAAGATAAATTAAATATGATAACTCTTTTTATTATAATAAACATTTTAAAGTATTAAAAATGATTTAAAAAATTTATTATTAATAAATATGAAAAAAATTTTTTATTCTTAATTTTTTTTTTTAATTATATGATTAATCGAAATGATTATTTAAAATTATAATAAATTATTATAATTATAATAGTAAGTTAACAGTGTAACAATCAATACTTTATTTTATTGTATTTTTATAGCAAATTTCAGTTCAAGCAGTGAAACGAAGACTGAATTTGGAAATGGGAACTACAGGCCCTAGCCAATCTGCTTTTAAAGCTCCTAGAGGTAAACGTAGAAAATCTGGATCAAGTTCTCTAGCTGGCCATACACCTACAAAAAGTAAATTTCATTTATTTCTCTTGGAATATTATTATTTATATAATGTTTAAAGAAAAAAAAAATGTCATCTTTATTGTAGGTAAAACAGTAGAGAGAACGCGGTACGATACATCACTGAGCTTACTTACAAAAAAGTTCATACATTTAGTTGAAAGCAGTCAAGATGGTGTTGTAGATTTAAATGTAGCATCTGAAAAATTAGAAGTACAGAAACGTCGTATTTACGATATTACGAATGTATTGGAAGGTATAGGTATTTTGGAAAAGAAAAGTAAAAACAATATACAATGGAAGTACGTTGTTATTTAATTTATCAATAAATATCGAGCTTTTCTACGATAATAAATGTGATTATTTTATTTTACAGAGGCGGTCAATTACCAAATGAAAGGAACGATATCGCTGATCTCAGAAAAGAAGTGGCAGATTTAGAAGCTAAAGAAAATACTTTGGATCGATTAATTCATGGTGCAGACAAAAATCTTAGGGAGCTCTGTGCAGACAGACAATACGCTTATGTAACGTATCATGATTTACGTTCTGTCCCAATGTACAAAGACCAAGCTATAATGGCAGTGAAAGCTCCACCAGAAGCTACACTTCATGTTCCACAACCTATTAATAATCTTGGTCAACAAAAGGTAATTTCATAGAAATCGATTAAGATTGAAATTATTTATATTTTTAACAATTAATTATTTATTATTTGTGAATTCAGCTTCAAATGCATATGAGGTCATCTCATGGTGAAATAGAGGTATTTCTTTGTCCTGATGATCCTGCAGTTAAAACGTCTCCCACTCCGGGTTACACGACGACGCAACCTGTGCCTTCGTCAAAAGAATCCGAAATACCTTGTCTCCCTCCTGAACTGCTGGCCAATGGAGGAAGCGGGGTTCGGGTTGAACCAGTACCTTCTATCGAAAGTTCGTTGAGTACTCGTTTGTGTACTCCGGTTATATCTACAGTTACCAGTTTAGCAGGCATGAGGGACGCGCTTTTGTGTGAATCCGATGATTATGGACCAATGGGTGGTGGCAAATTCCAACTCCAAACGGAGGATCAAATTAGCACTCCAGGTAGGATCGCGCATATTTCATAATTTAAGATTCATTCGTTACTTTTTTCGCATTGAATTTGCGAATGCTATTGGAAAAAATAGAATTTAGAAAAACAAAGTCAATATATCTGCATACAATATTAATTTTAATTCTTTTATGGAATTAATTATTACTATTTATTTTTTTACGCTGCTTTTATTTGCACGTATGCTTTTAAATGTATCGCTATGTTTTATAAGAAATGCTTAGTGTAAAATGCTAATGATTGTAATAAGATGAATATAATCTTTTTAATATAAAAATATAATATAAGATAAAAATATATATATATATATATTTATTGAATATCAATTTTAAGCTTGTCTTCATCTTATTACACTTTTTGAAATTTTTTTTAATTTGTTAATATATATTAACACATTAATTTATAACGATACTTTAGTGCAAAATCCAGTGCAATATACAATCCAATGCAAAATCTTAGTTAATTTCTTTATTACTTTATAATTGATTAATCTTTCACATTTTTTTAATATCTTTTTTTTGATGTAGTTATTATATTTCTTTTTTTTTTTTTAATTTTTTTTTCTTGTTAACAAAGTTGTATTTTTATTTTATTTTATTTTTTAATAAATGTTTTCAAAACTACTATTTTTGTCTCTATACTTCCAAGGTATTTACTGGACTTACTATACTGGAAATACGTTTCTTTCTCGTTCGTGTAAGCAAATGAAAGATTCGTAATTTTTATTGTTTTTTTGAAACTTGAAAGAAATGTAATGCATGCCATTGAAGAATTCCATAACAATATTTATAAAAAATAATCTCTTTGGAAAAAAAGAAGATAGCAAGAGTTGATTTTTTATTGTACATCGAGGTTCAATAATTTAAGCTATCTTTTTCATTGGTTCTCTACCTTTTCAACAATGGAGGATAGCCGTACCCTGATGGAGCTCTGGCTGTGACTTGTGTGTTAACTGAATTAAAATCACATCACAGGCAGAGTTCTAGTTAGGTAACGGTTTCAAACAACAAAACTCTTGTCGCGTGAAGGTATGTTTCATGGATAAAATAATTATTGGCTTGTATATATTTTAATGCTATTTTGTATGTATATATTTTTTTTTTCGTCTAAAATTGTTACCTTATTATAAAAACAGATTACTTTTAATCTTTCTATTCTATGGCTTAAGAATGTTTATGCTAAATTAATTTTTTTTTTAAGCAAAGATAGACAACTTTAAAGAATGTTAGACTTTTTCATTTTTAATTTTATGCAAATTTAATTATACTCTTTGTTTTTAACAAAGTAATGAAAATCAATTTATTAAAGTAAATAATTCAAAATATTATCATTAATCCATACAATTATCACTTAATTATGAGTATAATAAATAATTCATGAAATTTTTATTAATTTTAAATAAAAATAATTAAAAATTCAATAATAATTCATCATTTGATTAATAAATAATTCATAAATTTTTCAATATTATAATATAATTCACAAAATGATTAATAAATTAATATAACAAACATTCAGCTCTCATTGCTTAAGGGTTTTGCTAATTGTTATTTAAATTAAATAATAATACTTGCTTATTAATTATTATCTTTTCAAATTGATTTCAATAAATCAATATTTCATAAACCAACTTAAATAATCAAATATAATTAACATTGTAACATCGAATATTTTTCAAAAAATTATTAAATCATAAAAACAAAGAAAGAAAACGAATAAAATTAATAAATGAATATTGAAAGTGAAGGTGTTCAATGCGACTGGACAAGCCCAGCATTTTCTCTTTCTTTTGTTGCAGATCTAAGTATTCTCGATTTTGGTGAGCATCTACTGTCCCTGGAACCGCCTCTTTCTGAAAACGACTATTCGTTCTCGTTAGGCACAGAGGAAGGGCTTTCGGATCTCTTTGATTTCAAATTCTAAAGGATATCGTCCTAATTGTCGTCGTCGTGACACGCAACACTACATTCACACGCATACCTGTCTTTTTTTTTTTTTTTTTGGAGTATACCACTCTGAGTTCGCCTCCTTAACATTCGAATGGATAGCGATCACTCGGTTAATCCAATATTAATACGCTTTTCTATTTCATACCGATTAGCAATTTTTAACAATTAAGGGAACGATCGAGCAGAGAAATGTTAGATTGTTTGAATAGAAATAGATAGAAACAGGGAAAATTTGATAATTACTTTTAAAAAGCGAAATCAAATTCATGGCACAATCCATGGAAAATCGACACGCCGTTGAATGTTTTTTTTTTTTTTTTTTTTTTTTTTTTTTAAATAAAATATAATTTCGCGCTTCTTAATTTTTACGAAGAAAAAGAAAAAATGAATGGAAATACATTGGAAAAATGTATATAGATATTATGATGTTATAATCGAATAATATTTTGTCAAAGATACGTCTCGAATTGAGTTTGTTCTTTGAAAACGAACATTTTCATAAAAATCAACTGCATACAACGTATCACGATTCGCTTTGGGAAATTCGTTTCTGCATGAAAAAAAAAAGCATTAAATAATGGGGGGAGGGGGGAGGGAGAAACATATCACGGCAATGATTAATGCGCACGGTGAGTACTTCCGGCTTGATACGGTCGTAACCGATTAAGTTTCTGGGATGATAACTTGTAAAGCTGCTCTGACGGTATTGAGCCGTTTTCTTGTGCAATGTGTAATAATATTGTAAATGATGTAAACGTATGAAGGCTTAGAGAAAGAGTAAGAAGGATGAAATAGGTGGAAGAGGATATATTTGAAGTTTCAAAGAGAAGAGAGACTGGACTCGTGTCGACGAATAACTACGATATTTTCTTTATATATATATATATATATATTTTTCCTTTTTTTTTTTCTTTTTTTTTTTTTTTCGTTTCTATGGTTAATTATATGGAATTGTATAATAAAAATTATTATTAGAAACGTGAAGTAGCGTACGCAGATAAAAAATGTAATTTCAATGAAAGAAATCCCTCCTAGAGTAATGTTTATATCGACGTGATATGAAAAAAGAAAAAAGAAAAAAAATAAGAACAACGGGGATAAATCTTTTCCGGATGGTTGCCTTCTCTTGTCACTTGGACTGATTCTTCTTTTCTAAATCGTGTGCTTAAGCCGAGAGACCGCCGTCCGGAAGGATAACGTTGTAATTATTAAAAATTTTTGTCGAGGAGATCGATGCGTACAGTAGGCTTTATCGACGAAGAAATTGTTTGTAAAAAGATGAAAGTGAAGACAAAAAGAGAGAGAGAGGGAAAGAAAGTGTGTGTGTGAGAGAGAAAGAGAGAGAGAGAGAGAGAGAAAGTTGAAGAAATGATGAAAATGCGAACGGTTGAAAGGCATAGTTTTTATTCTATATACTTTTGTAATCGGTCGACTTTTCTGAGTAGGGAGCGAAAATTTGTACAGTTCGATGCATGAGAGAAAAAAAGCACGAGGTGAAATAGAGAAAAAGTATATAATGATTATCTATCGGTGCGGATGATTCTTTTATGGCATGTAAAAATTACATACATAAGAAACACACGTACACACAAACATTATCATCTCACGATATGGTCCTATCGAAGAAAATATTATTATTCCGGCTAAAAAATAAATAGATCATCATCATCGTATTGGATTAGCTTCATTGACAATGTCGTAGCGAACATGGAGACGAACTCGAGCATACGATGGAAAAAAAAAAAAAAAAAAAAAAAAAAAAGAAAGAAGAAAATTGCAAAAGCAGAAAATCTTAGGCTGTATTTACATTGCATGTAAACGCATCTATACGTATTCAATTCGAGTCGTAACGATGAAAAATGTCTAAGATTCTTTTTCAGGATACAATGTTATTCTGGAACTGATTTATAAAAAGGGGTTTTTCGAGAGGAATTTTATACCGGTGCACCTTGACTTTTGCCGCGTGAAACGGCGGTGGAAAAGAAAAAATGAAGTTTGTAGGCTGATTTCAGTAGAAATTTCATTGAAACAAAGATGTATCAATTATAAATATTGTTCCTGAAGAAGTCGAGGTCGTACTGGATAGAATTGTCTCAGTTGGAAGTCTCTTAAGGATGTACTCTAAACGTACAACTTAGTGTACGTCCAAAGCCATAGTGCCTACACAATAATGATCATACCCTTCTGCAAAACTGTATATAATTTACATACTATATAAAAATATATAAATAAATATATATATATATATATACATTATATATATATACACACACAGACAGGCAAAATGTAAGAATGTGACGACCCCGAAGGACAAAGAAAAAATATAAAGAAAAACCGGATGCTGTGGACACCTCATTGCGATTATCATGAAATATCGATTAGTTAGTTTTAATTACAAATAATAATTAATTATTGAAGCATTACACGAGAAAAATGTTAGTTTATAAATTCACTTATTATATATATGTACATGTATATATACTATATGTATATGTAATAAGTATGTATGTTTTATAGTCAAACGAATATTGTGCAGAATAAGAATTGAATTCTAATTACTTGGATAAGTTGGAAAACTATTTTCCTTCTTACTTTTTCTTCTTTTTTCTTTCTTTTTTTTTTCTAAACATAGATGCAATAGTGGACATGATACAATGATTTTCTTCCCGCTATATATATATTTATTTCAATGATTAATCGTATAATATTTCAAAAAATAATTAGGAACATAAAAAAAATAGTTCAGAACAATTTCCTCTCGTCGTTATCGAATAGAAAATAAAATAAAAATGGAATAATAATTATTCTGCACAACTTTCGTAAAACGCAATACCTATCTGTAACAGAGAGGATTGTAATAGTTTTGTTTCTCGTTTCTTTTTTTTCTTTTTCCGATTAAACTGATAACATCGCACTTTTTTTCATACACATCGTGCAACGAGAGAGGGGAAGCAAAACGGAAAAAAAGAAAATACAGAAAAAGAAAATGAAAAACATGAATCGAGAATGCGTGAATCTGTGTGAATGGACATGATGATCGAATGATGATAATTAATTGATACGAATGTTCTATGGTCAGCGATTCGATTAAACGATTCCGACTTACCAGTGAGAAGTTACGATATTTTCTACCTGAATGTTTGTGAGGATCTCGGCGAAGTCTGAGCACGTCCGGGATTTTAAGAAGTGTAATGTAATATTATAATTCATCGATATTGTATATTTTAATCTGTTCGAAAAGTATGTTATAAGAAACATAACACTTTAAGAAAAAAAAAAAAAAAAAAAAAAAAAAAAAAAAAAAAA